CCCCGTGCGGACGGGTGTCCGGGGCCTGGAGCCGAGGCTGGAGCCCGGGCCACCGGGTCAGCACCGAACACTCGGCGCTTCGTGTCCCTCCGGGAGAGGAGAGGAATGTTATGTCTCAGTCCTTTTTCTGTCTGATGTTCTGAAAATGCACGACACACGGAGCACCAACGGAATCCTCTTCCTGACGCTGGTCTGGTTGGGCCCCCAGGTGCCCCCCGAGAAGGGCTCTGCGGTCCCAGCTCCGGGAGGGGAGCGGCGGGGGAGCAGGGGGACCCCAGGCCCCCGCTTGCCGAGGAGGCTGGGTTTGTGTCTAAGGCCCTTGATTGGCAGGGAAAACACCACCGCAAACACTGATGAACGCTCGCTGGGCTTTAACATTGGATTTGGGTGGTTTTTCCCCAGACGCTGGGCGCAGGGGTCCCTGGGGCACTCACATTGGAAGACTTAAAAGTCACGTATTTGAACTGGAGCAGCTGTGCCGAATCGGCCAAGGATTGCGTCATGGGGCGAGGGGCGTCCAAATCGATGGGTCCTGCTGCCAATCAAACGGTTGTTGGGAAGGATAACAGTTTACCAATTTAGATTCAGTGTTAGGAGTCTGCAGATTAACTGATGAAGATTAACAGAAGAGACAAAACTTATTCACATGCATATGAAACGCACAAAATAAGTGACTCCTATAATATAATTTATATTATATTTATTATATTATAAATATAAGGGCGGGGGAGAAAAAGGCTTTTATGGAAAGACTGGGTTTGTAGAGGAACAGAGGGAAGATAAGAAAGTTGGTGATAATGTTTGTTTACGCAGCTGTGAACGGGTTTTTTTCTCCCCCTTCTTTCTGGCCAGGGAAACTCCCGAGGAGAGGCTTTGATTACAGCCTGGCTCTCAGAAGATCCTGCCTTTAGTCAGATAAGGAAGCTCTGAAAAAGCTGCCTTTTGCATCTGTTGAATCTCACTCAGATGTCTTCAGTTTAAAATCATCTTCATATCAACTCAGGGGTCCGAGTGGGTTCCTGCAGGTTAATGGCTGGAAGGAAGCTGACACTGAACACATAACTGAAAGTTACCTTTATTCTGCCCCATTACACCGTAGTGTGGAGGGAATGGCATGCAAAGTTTGGGCACTGTGTGTATTTAGATCCAGAGGACTTGGCTGTAGCTGCATGTACACGCACCTCCACCGTGAATTCTGGCCCCTCACAAGTCACCCAGGCATGTCATGTGCTACTGGTTACTGGCCCAGTCTTTGGTCCAGATGGTTTGAGCTGAACTGTTAGGCATAAGGGAAACATTCCAACTTCTCACCTTCAGTGCAGGCCTAAACCAAATGAGACTCTTTAAATCAGCGGTTCTCAACCTTGTGGGTCGAGACCCCTTTGGCGGTCGAACCACCCTTTCACAGGGGTCGCCTAATACCGCCCTGCATATCAGATATTTACATTACGATTCATAACAGTACCAACATTACAGTTATGAAGTAGCAACGAAAATAATTTTATGGTTGGGTCACAACATGAGGAACTATATTTAAAGGGCCAGAAGGTTGAGAACCACTGCTTTAAATGGAAGAAAAACTCCCTGGGCAAGTTTTGGTCCCTAAACCTAGGAGTTGTCTTGTGTGCCTGACCTCTCAAAACACAGGGCCCTTGTACTCATCATTAAAGCCAAAACACAATTCCGGTGGGGACCCACAAGAATGACTAAAATTTAAAAGCCTGCAAATACCAAGTGTTGGCAGGGTCTAGGTCAGTACTGCTAGAAGTGTAAAGTGGTACAATCCTTTGAGAAACTGTTTTAGGAGAGCTGAACGTGTGCATATGCTATGACTCGGCGTTCTCGCTCATAGATGAT